ATCTTAAAAATAGTTTCAGTCTGACTTTCTCCCTCTGCTCCAAGGCATTCCATTATTTCACTAAAACAACAAGGAGTCCGGTGGCTCCTTAAAGACCAACAGATTTATTTGGGCATAAGCTTTCGTGGGTGTCAGGGTTTCTTCCCCACTCTGAACTCTAGGGTACAGATGTGGGGACCCGCATGAAAGCCCCCTAAGCTTATTTCTACCAGCTTAGGTTAAAACCTGGTACGCTGCCACCACCAAGTGATTTAACAAGAAACAGGGAAAAGACCACTTGGAGTTCCTCTTCCCCCAAAATATCCCCCCAAGCCCTTACAGCCCCTTTCCTGGGGAGGCTTGAGAATAATATCCTAACCAATTGGTTACAAAGTGATCAAAGACCCAAACCCCTGGTCTTTGGACAATGGAAAAATCAGTCAAGTTTTTAAAAGAAGGATTTGAAAGTATCTTGCCCCCTTATTGGTTCTTTGGGTCAGGTGTCAGCCAGGTTACCTGAGCTTCTTAATCCTTTACAGGTAAAAGGATTTTGGTGTCTCTGGCCAGGAGGGATTTTATAGTATTGTACACAGGAGGGTTGTTACCCTTCCCTTTATAGTTATGACAGTGGGTAAAAAACGTTTTTTTACCCACGAAAGCCTATGCCCAAATAAATCTGTTAGTCTTTAAGGTTCCACTGGACTCCTTGTTGTTTTTGTGGATACAGACTAACATGGCTACCCCCTGATACTATTATTTCACTGGGATCACACAGGGTAAAAACCAGCAGAGAACTTACATTCATTGCAAGTGCCTCTGAGTTTTAACTGGGGCTCCAGATATTACTTAATGGAAAGAAGAATTAAAATTTGATATGTATATTACTTGGTCTATTCTCTTCTCCATTTGTATTCTTTCCATTTTCTTCAAAAGCATTACCATCTGTCTTCTCTAATATTCCCTGCTCAGGTAATACAAAGATATATCTATTTGTCATACGTAATTTAGCAGGCTGAGGTACAGAACTTAGCCCCAATTTCAATGCATATTTAAAGCACCATACATTTACACTATTGCCTTAGGGTTTGTTCTGAAATCTAGGAAAGAGAATAAGTGCTGAATTCTGGCTCTTCTCACTGAGTCCAATGGTAGCTGCAGGCACATAACTAAGGGCAGAATTGGGCCCTCATTACAGTCCATTTTTTTTCTTATTGTTTTCAAAATTACTTTCTTAACTGATGGATCTAGGGAAAAAATCCTGTCAGCATTAGCTCTAAGACATTGTGAGGATTATTTTAAAAAAATGTATTTATTAAAGATGAGCAGAGAGGGTTCCAGGAACTCCATGAGCTGAGTTTAAGCCTGTCAGGTAACCCTAACGTCTCTTTAAATACATATAGAAAACTCCCACTCTCTTCTTTTGCTTGGCCTACTGTAAAACTAATATTCTTAGAAGATAGTTGCCCAACCTATTTTCAATATATTTGTTGTACTTGGTGCCTTGTCATCAGCCTAATCTCTCTTTCTAAAACAGTTATTCCTTCAGGATCATAATGTCCATAGCAGAACAGACCAATGATTCACTTGTCTAGCAGCCTTTCTTTGGCTGTGTCCAATCCAAGATGTGTCAATTGAAGGCCTGAACACCCCACAATCTGCCTAATTCTGCTACACCAGGGCAACTTCATGGTGACCCCAAGATGAACAGTACTTGCCCACACAAGTGCAATAGTCTAATCCTGTTTGAACATTTACTATCTGGAGTAAAATGACAAGGGCTAACAATTCTCATGCTTCTAGACATATGCTCATCACAGATAAATGGGACTGCTTATGTAAGTGTTACCTAACGTGAGCAAGAGTTGAGGATTCAGGCCCCTGGCATAACTCTTAAATGGTGATAAAGATCCAAAAAGAAGAACACAATATCATGCAGGGAACTTGAGATGCTATAGAATTCTTTTCTTCAGTGTAAATAATTTTCTGTAGCCTCAGACTAAACGTAAATAAATTTCAACAATAAAAGTGACGTGACACCATATTTGTATGCTGCGTAGGTAATTTTGGGACTTAAAGAAGTGAGGTCTATTGAAATGAGCTTCATTAGAGAGGTATGACACCTGGAGATCAGTATCTGATCCTGAAGCATGAGGATTATCAGCCTTTGTCATTTTACCCCAGTAAGTACATTTCAGAACAGGATTAGATTCCTTTAATTACAACATCTGCTGTTATACGACATTATTTGTCTCAGTAATATCTTGTGGCAACGAGTCCTGGACCTGTTTCCTTGAAATTTCTATCTAATGACTTCTTTTTAGTGTGCACATTTCTGAGCCAGGACTTCAAAATGGTTACGTTTATCCCTCAAGCCTTTCCTCCAGGGTATTAAAATGCTTCTCTTATTTTTGGAGCCTAATGATTATACCATCTGGCCTTTTTTATGCTCATTAAAACTCTTTCTACATGTCAGTGTACTTAAGGCAGAGTCTAAAGTGTGCCTGAGAGGATTTATCTGTCTGGGAAGTATGACATATCTGCTGATGCCAAGGCAGAAGAAAATGGTGCTCAAGGACACTTCAACTCTTTGATTCAGTTGCTCCCCTCCCATCATTGTGTTGCCAGCACTCTCACTTTTAGCATGAATGCAGCCATTCTCAGATATTGTTAAGGGCTTCTTGTGGAAGCAGCAGCTCAGGAATTTGAGCTGAATTGTTTGCGGTTTCCCAGACAATAATAATACTTTAACTATTCTATAGTGTACTTTATCCATAGACGTTAAGGCACTTTACAAAAGAAGGTAAATATCACCCTCCTTTTACAGAAGATAAAACTGAGGTGCAGATAAGTAAGTTTTTTTTCCTTAAGAGGAATGGGAGTTGGAGTTAGGGATGCCGCAACAAATATTTTCTTCAAGGCACTGATTGCACAGTACTTCCCAGCCCTTACCTTGCCCCATTTGTAACATTAGCGGTTTGCAGTTACTACAGTTGGTGTAGCCTGGCTTGTAGTGCCTAGAGAGGGAGTGAATGAGTCAACTGTTTTCCTCCCTTCTTCCAAAGCAGTCAGTCATAAATAGCTGGTTCAACAACAAGGTGAGAGGCACAAGGGCATAATTTGGAGGGGTATTGCCCCCCCCCCGCAAAATGCAAGCCTCTGTCAGGCACAGAATTTGCACCCCCAATGCACGCCCCCATTGGTATGACTGGAGCTGTCCCCCCAAATATAGAAGTCAAACTACCTATGGATAGGCAGACCAGAGTGCCCACTATTTTGAATTCACATTTCTGCGGTGTATACATAGCTACAGCTGGAAGTATGATCTGTAGGAATGCTTTTAACAACAAAGGCCTCTTATTTTTACATATACTTTTTTGGGGGGGGAGGGGTCAAGTTGACAAATTTAAGTAGGTGAGGTGCCCACAAGGAGACCACCAAGCAGTTACCTTGGAAACTGTTACGCTCTACAAACTGGTCATTTGGCTATATGGAAAGCCTTCAGAATACTACTAATTACACTGAGGAGAACCCAAACCTTTTCTGCCAAACTCTCTATGTGACTGCATAAGTGACAAGATAGGGCCCTAAACATCCTTAGGGCCAATCATAAAGCAAATTCTGCCATCAGCTACAAACCAGTTCAAAGCAGTCAAAGACTGGATTGTCACTTGTGAAAGATAAGAATTTGGCCCATTCATTTTCAGCATGTCTTACAATAAAGCCACAGTCTCACTGGAAGTAACCAAATGCAACAGAGTATTTCATAAAAATTACTTAACATAAAAACAAATGATATATAATGCAACAAAGCCTCATTCGTAATCTCAGTTTGCTAAACATGGACTGCAACATACAATCTTATTTTAGTGCTTGTATACTTTAACATGATTTTGCAATCAATCTGATTGCCTTCCAGTAAAACAAATTATATAGTTGTAGCAATAGCATATGATTTAGAACAGATTGGAGTACCATGGAAAAACAGAGCTTGAGTAGCAACTTTTTTAAAGACTGTATCAATGAGCAATGTTCCACAAATTCAGATGACCAAGATAATTTAAATGTACAAGGAAACAGAATAATGCCACACTCAAAGGGATGTCATAGAGCGCTGGACTGGAACCCATGAGACCTGGATTCTAGTCTCATCTCTTCCACTTGAATACTGGGTGACCTTGGACAGGTCACCGTATCTCTCTATGCCTCCACTTCTCCATCTATAAAATGGGGATAATGACACTGCCCTGCTTTATAAAGCACATTGAGATCTACTGATGAAAAGTGCCATATAAGAGCTAGGTATTTATATTAGTATGTTTGTTCTCTTCCCCTGAACTTACTTTTCTGTTTGTTTATTTTTCGTAGGGTCGTGCTTTCTGAGACAGCCAATGTGCAGGGACTGTTTTTCCAAACTACTAGACATAAGCCCCACTTTAAACCTGCATCTGTCTGGGCAATAAGGTAAGAATCTATTGAAACCAATGATAAAACACTCATTTGGCCTGTCCACACGGCATCTAGGAATGAGCCTCCCAGCCCAGTTCCATTCCACTTATGCCAGCAGAGCTCACACTACTACTCTAAAAACAGCTGTGCACACGGTGCTTTGAAGTTGCAGCTTGGACTGGAGCTTGGGCTCTGAAGTCTGGAGGGGCTTCAGAGTCCCAGTTCCAGTCCGAGCCACAATTTCAAAGTGCCACCTACACAGCGATTTTTAGCTGATATTAGCACACCCTGCTAGCACAAGTCTGTGGGCCTGGGTGTAGACTTACCCATTAACTTCAATGGAAACTGAGCTAACGGATTGCTATGTGTTTTTGAAAATCTCACCCACAATAACTGGGTTACAAAATGTAACTTGACAGCTCAGCAGTAAAATTACTGACCATGTCCCACTGAGATATGTTGCCTCTTCGCAACAGCTTTTAAATATATTAAATCACAATAACCCATTTTCAGGGTTCAGCCATTTTCAACTCTCAACTGCTTAATTATCATTTAAAGCTCATGCAAAGCCTCTGCAGGTTTTTTTTTTTAAAGAAGACCATAGAGATAATTATGAGGTTTCAAACTTTGAACAAGGAAGAGGACTAATTTTATACATTACATACACCTATTTAGTGGAAAACCCACAGCTCCCATTCTAAACGTTTAAGGCCAAGAAGTTAGTTAGTTGCTCACATGGAGCCTGATCAAGCTCGCACTGGAGTAAGTGACAAAACTCCCACTGATTTGGGAGTTTTGAATGGCACCAGGACTGGGTCTTTGAAGACTACAGACTTGCAACCTGATCTGAACCCAATGGGAATCGACTACAAGAGTTGGGTACAAGTTGGACTGGAAAAAGGGTTGACACACTCAGGCCAGGTTCAGGTTGGGCTTTAAAATTAGGCCCAAGAAGACTGGGGGTGTGTGAGGCAAGGGCCAGTGGCTGGTGGAGGTGGTGCCACAAAGGGAGGTAGTGCTGCACTCACATCAGCTGTTTCCAGATGAGGGAGAGAGAGACACAACGTGGCTCACCTGCAAGTGCAGCAGCATGGCCAGCCGGGACCCTGCACTGGTCAGCCTCTGCCCTGCCCCACGCTGCACCTCACCCTGACTGCCCAGCCTAGAGTATTTCATTGTGCCCTTGCTGCAACAATTCAGGAAATCTGAGGTAACGATCAGGGGGATCTGTAAGTGGCTACCGATCATGCACCACCACACCATCCCAAGGTCTATACCCCTCCCACTTTGACCTCCTCCCCATGCCTGGATTCCTGCAGCGGGGCCAGGCAGGAGGTGACAGTGGAAGTGAAGAGGAGGGGGGTTACTCTGTGTCTGCACAGTGATGGGGCTGTCCAACCATCTGGCTGCAGTTTGGGTGGTCCAGGGGGCTGTGGCCTCACCAGCATGCAGGTATTGGTGGCCCTGGGCTCTTTGGGGCAGGGAGAGGGAGCACTGCATGTTTGTGAAACAGAAGTACATGGTCCGTTTGCAATGTCCCAGCCATATTGCTCTTCCAGCTCCAACATTGGCAGCTCTGCATCTGACCTTGCAACCCAACTTGAACCCAATAAAACCCAACTACAAGTGTTGGGTCAGGTCAGACATGACAATGACTTGACATACTTGGGCTTGGATCAGGTTCAGGTTACTTGTGGTCTAGTTGGGTTCAGGGTGGGCTTTACAGTTGGGTCTGATGACACCTCAATAGGAGATCCCACCGAGTAGGATCAGAAGAACACATCTACACTACTACCAGGAGAGTGATATTGTTATCTTTATGCAAGATTCCCAGTGAAATCAGAAAGAATTTTAAATGCACAAGAAATTGAGGGCCAGGCTGAATGTCTGTGAGGCAAAAGAGAAGGGAAAAAATCTTTACAAGACATTATTTTTTAAGTGTGTCTTTCAATGGCATGGTTAAATATTTTTGTTCAAAACTTTTTTTCAGCAAAAAATAAAGATTTAATGATACTAACATTTTGTATTGATTTTGCCAAATTGTTTTGGTTGGGAAAAAAATAATTATGAAAAGAAACCCTAACATGAACACTTTATTTGGTTTAATAGTGCCTGTTAATTCAGTAACAAACATAAATCATGAGAATTTATAGATGTTACTTTCACCTATTGCTCAGAATACATCTGAAGCTAATATTAGCTATAGGACCAAATTTTGGCTTCAGAGTCAAAATGGGAGTCATATGCATACATTCAATATTGCCAGGGAAAAAGAATAAAAGTTAAAATAAGGTCTACAGAGTTCAGACAGATGCTGTCCTGAGGGCAGATAAATTAGCAATCTTTGAATGTGCCTGATCAAGGACTAGACTAAATCTTCACTGCCAATAGACAAATCTGTAACAAATGCCCAATTTAAGTATCACCACCATTTACAGTGCAAATTATTCCTTTACCTCACTGATGCTTCTATCAAGCAATTAATTATTTCTGGTCTCTAGGATGCTCACTTAACTGAGGTTTCATCTTCCACTTAAGCATAAAAAAGAAAATGCCAGTTTTTATGTGAACTGGGCACAATAACTTTCATCAGTTAGTCTCAAGTATCTACAATGCAATTATACCCTCTTACATAAGCCTGGGGAGGTTCAGCTATCGCAGGCTTCAATGGTTTTGGAGATCCCCATGACCATATACCACTCCCAAATGAAATCACCCACATGTCTTTTGTTAGCTCCCTATTCATAGACTGGCAGATTTAATTTTCATATTAATAATGAAATAGTCAAATCAGTTTAGTTTATTCAAAGCAGTGATTTGAAAGTAATTCTGAAAATTCTGAATTATATTTATAAATCTTTAAATTTATTCTTTCTATAAGAAATTACATTGTTTATATTGATAAAGGCCAGGATTTAAACCTAGATTAACAATGCATTTATAGTAATGCAAGAGCAAACAGATGTTTAAAAACGGCTATTTGGGTCATACTTGATTAGAAAGTTCCAGAGAACTTTTCCTAAGTACATTTATGAAAATGTTGGCAAACAACCTGCACTGGGCTGCACAAGAGAATTCTCAGCTATAACTCTTTTTTCTTATAACCTTAGTGCCACAGTTATGAGACAGAAAAATATTACAGTTCTGTGTTAAAGAGCCTTGCACTTTGGAGTCACTCCTGGGGCGAAGGACTATGAAAAGCTGCCTCTCCTCCTATATTATGCTGAACTAGTTAATGCTAAGGCATGTCAATAGCTGATGCCTAAGATAAAGTTCACGAATACAGGTAGATGGCATGTATGGCATGTAGAAGGCACATATGGACAGACTTGCAGATGGTCGTCTGTCTGCATCAAAATTTGGCAGGCTTCAGGACAAAACACGGCATCCTGGTTCCAGCAAGCTGTGAACTGAGACTTTCTCTGAATCATTTATGTGTCAGAGGTAGCTTCTGGTGACTAACGTAGCTCTGCACGTTAGCAGAACAACGGGGTCTAGAACTGGGAATAAACCTCATAGGTCTAGTCCAGCTCCATGCTAATACAGGTTTGCTCCCTTGAGCACATATATTTGCATTTTGTCCAGTCTAATTTTGTGTGTGCCGAGCAACAGGGCTTCTCCATTGTGGGATGAATCTACATGCAAATAGATGATCCTTTTAGCCAGTCCTTCCACCAAGCTATTAGCTCAGATATTCTGTATATGCTGCCAATTTCTATAGCATTCGGTTGTTTTACATTTAAAAAAAAATACAGAACTGCAATACTGTTCATGTACAATAACATTAACAAGATGCTGCACCTAGTAAGGGAGACTAAAGGACCCAGCAGTGAGGGCACAAGACTGAACAAAAGCCTGGAGACTAAGATTTCATTCGCATTGCCTTTGCCTGACCCTGGGCAAGTCACTGAAATTTGTATCTTAGTTTTCTCATCAGTAAAATGAGTTTAAATGCTACTGACGTAGCTTTGTAAAGTGGTGTGAGATCCCTGGAAGAAAATCACTAGCCAAGAGCTAATGGTTATTTTATCATTACTAATGACTAGGAACAATGGGCTAAAAGTATGAAAGATTGCATTTGGCAGGGAGATTTTATCAGGGTGTGGATGTCTCTCAAGAGAAGTGTTCAAGCCCCATAGCTTGGTATATAAAACTAGACAGGGCAAGGCATTAATACAAGTAATACCATTCTAAGAACCAAACCTGTGATGTCAGGGAGATGGGTTAGATGACCTAAGAGGTCTGATTCCCAGCTCTGGATTCTATGAATTCAAACTGTGTTGCTATGCAGAGCCATACAGAGATTAGTAAAATGACTGCCTACTAGAGAAAGAAAGTTTGAGATAAGAGGTCAAATTTTCAAACAGGCATTTTAAACTGTGAATGCAAAATAAGTAGACAAACATGTTCTAAATGGAAAATTAAGCTGAATAAAAGTGTGGTTTATGATTGCAATTGCCTGTCTATGCTTGCATTTACCTAGTATACAGGTCTGTCGCATCTTACGCGCATTTAACATGCACGATTTCAACTTTACGCGGTTGGCAAAAAAAAGAGAAAAACAACAGTTTTAATACTATACCTGTAGTGCAGGCGATTTCGCCCGACATTGAACTCAATGGGGTTTTGGCTATACGCAGTTTTCGCTTTACGCGCTAACCGTGGAACGGAACCCCCGTGTAAGATGAGACAGACCTGTATGTTATGTTCTGCAGATGCAACTGATGTGTGATAGGCCAAGTTCAGCAGTACTATAGCTGATTTTAGCTCTGATTGGGAAAGACAATATCTCTAGAAAGAAAAACTCTGGAAAAGAAAATTGCCACTTAAATTCTCAAGGGCAATGCAAAAAGATAGTGGTCTTTTTTTTTTTTTTTTGGCCTTCTCTCCCATTTCATAAAGAATCCCTGATAGCTGAAGCTTTCAGACTCCACTTTACCTAGAGAAAGAGAGAAAGAAAAGTGGTATATTGCCACTGGGGATTATTTCCTTATTTTATTGTAATTCAACCTGGA